TGGAAGATAAACCTAAAGGTTTGGTGCCTTTCTTCAGTTCACCAATACGTTCATGAGTGAATTTAAAACCTCGGCAGGGAACAGCGAGGAAATAACCTTTTCTTAACATTATTGTTTTCCTGTCACACCAGTGCAAATGGGTTAGGATGGAAGTGTGAACATGCGGCGGTCACTCGTTTTATGCATGTAATAAGTCCAGGGGAGTTTTAGAATAACCACATGACCACGACAGCTGAGAAATGTCCTGAATTCAGAGATTTTGCCCATCAGCGAAAAATTCATTTATTCACGCCAATATTTATATTTGGGTTAAGAGGACGTACATTCAATTATCATATACCTGTATCGTGGGTCTATGATTAAAAGGTGGTACCATGGCTGACTGAATGACGTAGCTGCCATATCGAGCTATGTCTTGTTCAGTGAATGAAACGTCAGCTGTTTGATATGCGGTCTGTCAGAAAATACAATAGAAAATTCAACATAGCAAAGTATGTCAGATGTATTTCGAAACGTACTTCAGACGCAAACTGAACATGAGGATCCTTGCTTTCAAATAGACAGTCAGTGGGTTCGGTGCCGCCAAATGTACATTCTTTCGTAGTCCAATTTAAAGCGCTCATATGACTAGAGACGGGCTCCTCGAAGACGGTTGGTGAACAGGCTGTGAAATCCGGACCCAGATTTTCCGCACACCACTGGTTGATCAGATCTGCAATTATTCTCTGGTAACTTAATAAACAGCGGGTAAATGCAACCGTCAAGATTTTCCACTTCCGGATTAAGCGATGACAGTAGATCTTCCATACGTGAATCCTTCAGACTATACCGATTTGAAAAATGATCTTGAATGCGTACAGCCGTCGGTCAAACCTCTGTCGCTTGGCGCCATGCCCCCATACCAAAGGATACCACGCGGCTGCTAGATTGACACTGTGCTACTATTTCAGTAGACACTTTGGCAGGTATCGCAAACTAATCGGTCCAAAGTGGAATTTACCCTGATAAGATAAAGTACGTCTTGCCACTGGGTGGTAAATGCTTAAACCTGCCCAAGGTTTCGTCACATGACATATTTGCAATGTATGAATCAGCATTTGGAATTCAAATTTACCGTTGCCACCTAAGTTGATAAGTCAGTGGAAACATATTGCGCATAGCGCTCATTTCTCATGGCAAATAATACAACGCAGCAAATTCCGATTACGACTTTTCAATCCCGCCATCGTAAGTAACTGGTCAGCTAAAAGTATGGATTGGAGGATTACTACATGTAGTTCAGATTCTTTCCCATTCATTCATTGTAGTGGTACATGCGCTTTATTGTAAGTAAAAACTTTGGATAATTGTCTATTCCTACCACAGGAACAAGCCGTTTCAATATACCATGCATATATGAAATATGTCTGGTTTTCTATTTAACATTGTTCGACGTTCGAAGCATTTCTATTTTACAGTTTAGCTCAAGCAACGCTTTCACCAGAAGAACATAACTGCTGTTGAGATAATTACTGCTGCTAATCATTCCATTGGTCGGACTGCCAATTGTGTGGTTGTACTTGTACTAGTTGTATGGTAGACTATTCGATTCCTGTTCACATAGTACGCTTACCGTTTCCCTCTGAAGTACTTTAGCATGGAGTCCGTGAAAAATATTTACTACCAGTTGCAGAAAATCAGTTGCGTACTGAAATTTCTGAATTCCAATGCATACCAAATGATGTATCAATTAACGTTCATCATTTCCTACATCAGCGTTTTCCTCAGTTTACGACTGATTCTTAAAAAAATAGTTGCACACACTATAATTTAAGCTGCGTGGATTAATGGCTCACACAGTTTCAATGACTGGTGATTTCAGCTCTAACCGTACTATTTCAAACTGACCAGTCAGAGGGTGGATGGCAAGAAGCGACCAAAGTGAAATAGGTCATTTACATCCTATGCCCGCTTTGGTGAAAAAACTTCTTTTCCTTTCAATAGCTTCAGGCAAGCACACGTGACCACATGCATCATTCAGACAGCCATATTACGCATAACAGACGAAGGAATCAATTGTTAAATTTTCGTGGTGCAAAACAGTGGGAACCACTCAAAGGAAAGGCAAATATAATTGCGGCCTCTCCAAATCTGAAAATGCTTTGAAACCATATCTTGTGATTTCATGGCGAAATGATAAAACAACAGAAGGTATTTTTATTCAGCGACATTCTTTTTGACAGTCACGCATACAACAAGCGACGGGATCCGTTGCAATGTAGGATGTTTTTTACGCGATGAGCGAATAAGTGTTTTTGTGCCAATGCTGAAAATTACAGCCAATCACTTTTCAATGGATGGTACACTTCAGCCAATCAGTTCTTCACTCAGCAGGTTTTAGCTCACCCTTTAAAATTTCTTTAGGCGTACGGTAATAGCATTAACAAATAACCCCTAGCTCCAAGCTTCTAGG